TTGTTTACAAAAATATTAAAAAATTCAAAAAAATGGCTATTATGGTTATTTTATTTTTGGAAGGTTATTTTTGTGACCAAAACTTAAAATGATATTTAAGAAAATTACCTATTAATAAAAAAATACTAAAATGTTATAGGATATTATTTGGTTGTTGTGATAAGGGTTAGCTATAATACTTAGTTGAACTCAATAGGTTGAATAAAAAGAAATAGGTGCAACAGACTTTTTTAGGTAGATTTTTAGGATAATAGTATGGATGATATACCTACTTGAAAAAAGAAGTTGATATGATACTAGAACTTGACTCGTGCACTTGCTCGGGTATTTTTATTTTATTTTATGTAACTATATATTTATTTTGTATAAACGATTTTTTATAAACAGTCATATGTGTTTTTAACATTTACATGTAGTAAATAAATGTTTAAAATACTATTTTCAAAATAATTTATTATTATATTGAGGAATTTAATTTTTCTTTTTAAAACCCTTACCTATTTTTAATGCTTATTTATCACTTATTTTTAACATTATTTAATTTGAAAATAAACATTTATTGTTTTTAAATGACAAAATACAACAAGCTAAAAGCTGCATTATTATGATAATAAAATTAATGAAGTAGTTCGGATAAGTAAAAATAGGGAAGTAATATTGAAGTAGAACACTTAGAATAAGACAAGTATTGTTTTGTACTTCAGTTTTAGTAGAATAGATATGATATCTTGTTCTCGTAGATGAAATATTTGTAGCAAACTTAATATTTTATGTAATCGATCAAAAAGATGTGGACCTAATAAATAAATGTATTAACTAAATTACTGTTTGAAAAATATAAGGTAAAATATTATTAGTCAAAATTTTAGACAAGACCAAAATATTAGAAATCAAATGAAAGGATGTAACAACCTTGTATAAGTATATTTTTAGAATGTTTCTCTTTTCATAATATTGATATATATCCTCGTAAAGCTGATAATAATATCTAATGATTAATAAATTTGATATATATGTAATTTAATATTATATACATACTTGAAAAATGTTAATATGATATAGCAAAAGATCTTAAAAAATACTGAACTAATATATATATACCATAACTTCTTGATGGAATAATATATATAGAGCATGATATTACTAATATTATATATATTTATGTAACAACATTTAAAAATAATAATTTTAAATTATTTTGTATTTTCAATAGTTGATTATATTATTTTAAAAAAGTAATTGCATATTATAATTTTATTGACTCACTGATCCACGGTTTAACCACTGTCGATCTGATCCAATAACCTAGTGAACCAGAAATTCATTCGGTTCGGTGTCTAACTGATTTCAGTCGTAATGTTTAGCTTATTATGATTGTTCCATATCTATAACAATCATGATTAAGCTACGATTTTTAGATATGGTCCAAAATGTTCATATATAGTTTGTAAGTTTGTATTATCCTGTTGTAGTGGTCATTTTTTTAAGTTTGTATAATATGATCTATAACGAAATATGATGAGATTATACATTAACGCATAGTATAAGCAATGATTTTAGATAGTTTAGTTATGGTCCGATATGTTGACATTGTAATAATGAAATTGATTAAAACATTTGAAGAGAAATTTCCTTAGGTAGTTCTTTTTAGTTTATTTTCACAAAAATAGTCTTCAACAAGAAAAAATGACCAAAATAAGTTATTTTTTAAGGATAAAAATGCTCTTACACCCCTAGGGTTAACTAATTTAGACTTAGGGTTTAGAGTTAAGGGGTGGATTTTGGAGATGGAGTTTGAAATTGTTTTACAAAAATATTAAAAATTTCAAAATAAAAAATGTCTATATTGGTTATTTTATTTTTGGAGGGTTATTTTTGTGACCAAAACTTAAAAGCTGCTATTTGAGAGAATTACTCATAAATAAAAAATAATGGATTTTACTAAAATGTTATAGGATATTATTTGGTTGTTATGATAAGGGTTAGTTATAATACTTAGTTGTACTTAATAGGTTGAATAAAAATAAATAGATGCAACAACTTTTTTACTTAGATTTTTTAGGATGATCATCTTATAGTAGTATGGATGATATACCCACTTGAAAAAAAGAAGTTAATATTATATTAGAATTTGACCCTTGCACATGCACGGGTATTTTTTTATTTTATATATGTATGTATTTTTAACATTTACTTGTATTAAATAAATTTTTAAAATAATTTATTATTATATTGAGGAATTTTATTTTGCTTTTTAAAATCGTGTCTATATTGTAATGATTATTTATTAATTATTTTAATGTTAATTAATTTGAAAATAAAAATTTATTGTTTTTGAATGACAAAAGACAACATATGCTAAAAGCTTAATTACTATGATAATAAAATTAATGAATTAGTTAGGATGAGTAGAAATAGGAATGCAAATATTGTAATAAAAAACTTAGAAATATGTAAAACTAAATTTAAAAATTAAAAAAATGGTTGTAGCACCCTTCTTTTCTAAAGCTCTAATTTCTAGGATGTAGAGAAAAAATATTGCTGAAGGAATATCTTTTTTTCTTGAAGGAATATCTTTTCAGTTTTCTTATTTTTTTGCATTTAATTCTTAAAACTATATTTTCTAAAGTTACATCAAAATTTTCCATAGACAAAATTTTACAGTAAATTTTTTACAACTACATCCCAATCAAGCACTTTTGTATTTCAGTTTTAATAGAATAGATACCAAATGATCTTACAAAAAAAAAATATATATACCATAATTTCTTGATGGAATAATCTATAGAGAGCATGATGTGAAAGTTAATATACCGTTATCCCCTATATATTATTTGAGAATCATTTAAAAAGTTGTAACCTTAAGTTTGTAAGAATTAAAAATAACCCCAATCGTATGTGGCATAGCTATTTGGCTTCTATTTCAAATCCCAAGGATTCTAGAGCATGTGATATAATGTATAGTCTACAAATTGTATTCTCTAGCAATATAATATTTCGTAGACTATAGTTGGTCGCATATATCAAATATTTATTGTTTCGCATGCTTTCCTTAAATAAAAAATACGGAATTACCTAATGTGATTAAAATATATATGACAATTAATGATTTTAAACAATAAAGATTTGATAACAATCTGTAAAATTTTTCTCATTTTTTTATTTATTTATTATTAAAATAAATTACACAGTTACATTAATCATATAATAAAAATCTAGATTTTTTTGTGTATGTTGTATTTCGAATTTTTCGAAATGAGTATAAATTACTAAAATTGTTAAAAGTCTCACATAAACTTTTAGGATCAAGGTTTTAATTTGTTTTCTATATTAAAATATAATGATTATAAGACCATATGAAGAAATAATTTTAGTTTATATATATATTTCATATCGTTTTATTTAAACTATAAATCGTATGAAAATACATACTTATATTTTGATTGTCTTCAACATATATTGAAAATTTAATATTTAATTTTGAAATATGTCATTTTAAAAATGATTATAAATTATTGAAACTACTAAACATCTCACATTAAAAAAAAAATCGTTGGTGTAAAGTTTTGTTACACAAATATGCAAATAATCATAAAATCATATGAGTAGAAACCTCATTTAATAAATATCAATATCAAAAGTGTGTCATATTACTATGATTATATCATTTAAATTTAATTATATATCATATACAATATATAAGATTGATTATTTTGATTTATTTACGCTAATTGCAAATAAACAAGAGTGATAGTTAAATTTATATGCATACGTCAATTTATTACATAATAGCGACTAATTTCTTAGTTATGTAATATATATATATATATTTATTATTTTATTATTTTATGATATGCAGAAAATTATAAAATAAATTATAAATATAAAATACTTATTGTGCATAAAGTGCAGATCTTAACCTAAGTATGTATTTTTTTAATTATTTTAAATCTTAAGTATTTTCTAAATCTCATGTAAAAACAAATAAACGAAATGAGAATAAACTTCAAAATCAATATTTATATCGAGTAATAACCAAAATATAAAAAAAACACAACAAAAGAAAAAATTGAAGATAAATAGGATTACCAAGTGAACGTAAACTTCTCATAACCATAATTAATTTTTAAATTGTTAAATCATGATATAAAACTGAGTTAATTTTAATTTGTTATTTTTTTAATTTTTTATTTTTTTAAATCATTATGATTATGTTAAATCATGACCATAACTAATTTTAAATTTTTCTATTTGACAAACTTAAAATATTTTTTTTAAAATAATTTAACATTTAACTTAATTTTTTTATAAAATTATTTTTAAAATAATAATTTGTAAAAATATAGTTTTCTAATATTATTATACAAATAAATAAATTATATTAAATTAGTTTTGAAACGTTATATATTTTAAATGCAATTATTTTACCAACTACTTCTTAAAAAAACATTAGGAAATTTGCTAATACTCTACCAATCAAGCCCAATGACACTCTGTATATTTTCCATCACTCGAATACTAAAAAATGAAAAGATATATGAAATCGGGTCCATTAAATTCTAAAATTTGATCTACAGTTCTAATTACAATTGTTTCTGATCCTACGTATAGATAATTAATTAAAAATTCCAAAATTCTAAAATTTCAAATACATATAAAAACAATTATATGTAAATTTTAAATTTATCAATACTAAAGTTTTATATTTTAATTATGTATATTCAACCTGCGCAAGGTGCAGGTCTTATCCTAGTATATATATATATATATATACCATAATTTCTTGATGGAATAATCTATAGAGAGCATGATGTGAAAGTTAATATACCGTAAGAAAACAAAAGATCTTACATAATAATTACTAATATTTGAGAAATATATCATAGCATGATATTTAATTCCTTCCTTGGCATTTATAAATACATGTACTTACAAGAAAACACACACACAAACATTGTACATAAAAATCTTGATTTCCCGTGTTCTTTATTTCGCTTATAATGTCGTCCAAACTCTTAACGCTTTTGTTCTTCCTATCCTTTGTCGCGATCCACCACGTCCCTATGGTGACATGCAGACAATGGTGCATGGCGATGCCTAATGCTTCAGATGAGCAGTTACAAGCCAACATTGACTACGCTTTCAACAACGACGTCGATTGTACACCGATCCAACCAGGGGGAATATGCTATGAGCCAAACACTCTTTATGACCACGCGTCCTATGCGATGAACGCTTATTACCAGAATCATGGTCGCGTGGAAGACTCTTGCAGGTTCAACCGCAGCAGTTGTTGGGTCTTTGTCGACCCAAGTTAGGGCTCATGTGTGTACTACACTTAGAAGCAATTTCATTGTTTTGAAATTACGTCTTTACTTGTTTTTATTTTTAATTATTATCCCATACTATGTAATGTATACGTGTATATGAAGTTATCCTAGAAGTGTAGTAGAGGTTGAGTTTGTACAGAGTATAAATACAGTATTGTACATGTCAGTTACAATAAATGAGAATGAGTTTCTGTTACTAATATGGTATCAGAGCTAATCTGAGCTTATTCTCTAACTACCTTCCGCCGCCGTCATCTTAACCGTTCACCGCCGTCATTTTTCCACCGGATTCTCATCGGAATCCTCTCATCTTCATATCTTTCACCTTCGACGAGCTTCTCTTCTCGAATCCCTGTGCAATCTCAGCTCAATTTCAGATCGTCCTTGATATCGGAGCTCGAGATCGATTTCAATGAGGAAACGTAATTGCAAGTCGAAGTATCGTCGCTCTTCACCGGATTCTCCGGAATATCCGTCGCCGTCTTCTCCGGTAACTCGCGATGGTTCTTCTGGATCTAATCAACCTCGCGCTGTTGCTGACTCTTAAGATCGTGCTGACGTCACTCGTTCCGTTATCTCTCCGACTCGATTCGAGGTATCTGATTCACCTGACAACATTCATTCTCCATATCATCTCCTCAACTCTGATCATCCTGGATTAGTCTTAGTTGCGGAACCTCTTGATGGTAGTAACTATGGAGTCTGGATTATAGCAATGACTACTAGCCTAGAAGCTAGGATTTGTAGACGGTTCCATTGCTAAGCCTGCTGAATCTGATCCTTACTTCCGAATCTGGTGTCGTTGCAATAGTATGATCAAGTCTTGGTTGTTGAATAGCGTCACTAAGCAAATCTACACCAGTATCATGTATTTCAAGAATGCTTCAGAAATCTGGACAGATCTGCACACACGCTTTCACAAATCCAACTTACCAAGACTGTACAAGCTTCGCCATCAGCTTCACTCTTTCAAACAAGGCAGCTTGGATCTTTCCTCATATCACACGAAGACGCAGTCCTTGTGGGAGGAACTCTCAAGTCTCCAGAGTGTTACTCACACCATTGAAGATCTACTGGCAGAACGAGAAACAAACCGTATCATTGATTTCCTTATGGGCCTCAATGATAACTATGAGAACATTCGAAGCAGGATTCTTATGAAGAAGATTCTTCCTAGCTTCTCTGAAGTTTTCAATCTCCTAGATCAAGATGATAGTCATCGTGCTGCTCACACTCAATCATCCTCTGCATTGGAAGCTCCTACTGCTTTCCAAGTCTCTCGGTCTTCTGGTCAGAGTACTCATCGACCTTCTCCAACTGCGGGTGGTTATCAGCGAAAGGATAGACCTTTTTGCACCTTCTGTAATCGGCCTGGTCATGTTGTTGATAGGTGTTACAAGAAACATGGCTATCCTAATAGCATGAAACCAACGCCAAAGAGTGATCAGCTGGTGTCTTCCTTATCTGCTAATGTTGCTGTTGTTGAGAATTCTGCAGATAAAGATTTGCCTACACAGGATCTATCTCCTACTCAGATCCAACAGTTGGTTTCTTTCCTCAGTACCAAGCTTCAAACTCCAGCGGATCATCTCACTCCAGAAGTACACTCTGTCTCAGTTTCCATTCCTTCTTCCTCTACCATTTGTCCAATATCCGGTACTTTTTACCCTTCTATTCATTGCTCCTTTACCGGTATTGCTAAACCTTATGTTTGCTCCATGACAAACAATGCTACTGCATTAAACGCTTGGGTAATAGATTCAGGGGCAACTAATCACATCTCTCATCAAAAAACTTCCTTCATTTCCTTTAAATCTCTCCCTGACACAACCGTTTCTTTACCTAATGGAGTTCTGGTTAGCATTGTTGGCATAGGAAGTATAGCATTGGGTAGCAACTTAATCCTCAGTGATGTCCTTTATATTCCACAGTTCAAATTCAATCTTCTCAGTGTTAGTTGCTTAACTAAATCTCTACACTGTCGAGTTTGGTTTGATGAATTTTCTTGTGGTATTCAGGATCATACACAGGAATTAATGATTGGAATGGGTAGAGCAGTGGCAAACCTTTACTTCCTGGATATAGAGTCGTTATCTTGTCAAGGTGCTCTTCATAATGTCTTTGTGGGAACAGTCTCTAGCCTAGATTTGTGGCATAAAAGGTTAGGACACCCTTCCTTATCCAAACTTGAATCTATGCACTCTGTTTTAGCTTTTCCTAAGCAGTCTAATACCGTAGATAAACATTGTAAGGTTTGTCATCTATCAAAACAAAAACACCTTCCTTTTGTATCTCAAAATAATATCAGTAAAAAGCCTTTTGATCTTGTTCACATTGATACATGGGGTCCCTTTTCTACTCCCACTCATGATGGTTTCAAATATTTTTTAACCATTGTTGATGATTGTTCTAGAGCTACTTGGGTTTATCTCCTCAAACATAAGTCTGATGTTCTTACTATTTCCCCGGGTTTTATACAAATGGTAGAAACTCAATTTGATAGGAAGATTAAGGGGGTTAGATCCGACAATGCTCCAGAACTCAAATTTGCTGATCTTTTTCATTCTAAAGGGATTATTTCTTTTCATTCCTGCCCTGAAACTCCACAACAAAACTCTGTTGTGGAACGTAAACACCAGCACATTCTCAATGTTGCTCGTGCTCTTCTCTTTCAATCCCATATCCCTCTTCCTTATTGGGGTGATTGCATTCTCACTGCAGTTCACCTCATAAATCGTCTTCCTGCTCCTATTCTCAATGATAAATCTCCATTTGAAGTCCTTACTACTAAAATCCCTGACTATAACCAACTTAAAGCTTTTGGTTGCCTCTGTTATGCGTCCACATCACCTAAAGGTAGACTAAAATTTGACCCTCGAGCTCGTGCGTGTGTTTTCCTTGGATATCCTTCAGGAGTCAAAGGTTACAAACTCCTTGATCTTGAGAATAACTCGATCTTTATCTCTCGTCAAGTAGTTTTCCACGAAGAGCTCTTTCCATTAGTTGGTACTGATCTCTCTCTTTCATCCTCTATCTTCTTTTCTGATCAGTTACCAACAAAAGCTCATGTGAATGACAATGTTCCTGGTGATGAGACTTCTTCTCATTCATCGTCTGTAGATATTCTGCATTCTGCGGATTCTACTAATGATGCTGGGTCTTCTACTCAGTTATCACACAGGAGACTTAAAAAGCCAGCTTACTTAAAAGATTACTACTGTAATTCGGTAGAATCTTCAACCATACATCAAATCTCTTCTGTGCTTTCTTATGATAAGGTTTCTCCACTTTATCTCTCTTTCTTGGTCTCTATAGACAAAATCAAAGAACCCTCAACCTATGCTGAGGCAAAGAGACTTTTAGTTTGGGATGATCCGATGGACAAGGAGATTGATGCTTTGGAAGGGACTGGCACTTGGATTGTTTGTACTTTACCTCCAGATAAGACTCCCATAGGCTGCAAATGGGTTTACAAGGTGAAGTTTAATGCTGATGGGACAGTGGAACGCTACAAGGCTCGTTTAGTGGCCAAAGGCTACACTCAACAGGAGGGAGTTGATTATCATGATACCTTTTCTCCTGTGGTTAAGCTTACCACTGTTAAACTTTTACTCAGTTTATCGGCTATTCATGGTTTTTCTCTGCATCAACTAGACATTTCAAACGCATTCCTTAATGGGGATCTTGATGAAGAAATATATATGCGTTTGCCTCCTGGATATGCACAAAGAAAGGGGGACTCATTACCTCCTAATGCTGTTTGCAAGCTTGAGAAATCTCTCTATGGTCTCAAGCAAGCATCTCGTCAGTGGTTTCTCAAGTTTTCTACTACTCTTGGTGCTTTGGGTTTTTCTCAAACTCATTCGGACCATACCTGTTTTCTCAAGCATCGTGATGGACTCTTTCTTTGTGTGATTGTGTACGTTGATGACATTATTATTTGCAGCAATAACGATTCTGAGGTTGAAGTGTTGAAGACTCAGTTGAAATCACGTTTTAAGCTTCGAGACTTGGGGCCTCTGAAATATTTCTTGGGTCTGGAGATTGCAAGATCTTCTGATGGAATTCATGTTTGTCAACGCAAGTATGCTCTTGATTTGCTTGATGATACATGCTTACTTGGTTGCAAACCTTCGAGCATTCCGATGGATCCTTCCATCAAGCTTCTCTCTGAGCCTCCTAAGGGTATTGAGGATGAGTTGGTTGATGCTGCTGCTTATCGTCGTCTTGTTGGTCGCTTGATGTATTTGCAGATTACTCGTCCTGATCTAACCTTTGCAGTGAATAAGCTTAGTCAATATTCTTGTGCTCCACGCAAGAGTCATCATAAAGCTCTTCTCAAGGTTCTTCATTATGTTAAAGGATCTGTTGGCCAAGGCTTGTTCTATTCTTCTGGTTCAGAGATGCAAATTCAAGCGTTTGCAGATGCTGATTGGGGTTCTTGCCAAGACTCAAGACGTTCAACCTCTGGTTTTTGCATTTTTCTTGGCACTTCTCTCATTTCATGGAAGTCGAAGAAGCAAAAGGTTGTGGCTAAGAGCTCTGCTGAGGCTGAGTATAGGAGTCTCTCGGTTGTTTCTGATGAGTTGATTTGGTTGACGAATTTCTTTGCTGAGTTACCTCTTCCTCTAGTGAAGCAGACCTTACTCTTCTGTGACAATTCAGCTGCTATACACATTGCACATAACTCGGTCTTTCACGAACGTACTAAGAGTATGGAGATGGACTGTCATAGTGTTCGTGAGAGATTGGTTGCAGGTTTGTTCAAGTTGTTACATGTGAGAACTGAGTTACAATTGGCTGATCCATTTACCAAGCCTATGTACCCTGCACCATTTAAGAAATTGTTAGGCAAGATGGGTCTTCTTAACATCTTCGTCCCATCTTGAGGGGGACTATTATCCCATACTATGTAATGTATACGTGTATATGAAGTTATCCTAGAAGTGTAGTAGAGGTTGAGTTTGTACAGAGTATAAATACAGTATTGTACATGTCAGTTACAATAAATGAGAATGAGTTATGCCCACATGTTTTAATTTAGGTGTTTTGCTATAACTTGTATTTTGCTGTATTTGCTTGAAAGTTGGCCTTATAATATCAAGTTGTCATTTAATTTTATACCAACTTCTAAAACAAGAGAAATAGTATAAGAAAACAAACTTTCTTATGGATTGAAGAAATACGTACAATACAACTCATCAAAAAGTTCCGTGCTTAGAATTTTAATTTGTGGATTATCTGTGATCATGATTTGATGTATTTTGGTATAGGTTCGTTGTAAATCTCTCAGCTGAATCAACATATATACTTATTAATTTATATTAACTCAAAATCAACAATAATAAATTATTATGTTTTTAAAATTAATTATAAATGACAACACTCACGTAGTAGAATAATTTTTAAAAATATATATATACAAATGTTTTACTTTATTTATATTTAATTATAATTTTTCATGTCTTAATTTTTTGTTAATAGAAAATATATTTTGAAGATAATAATTAAATACATAAAAATTATTTTGTTTTCTCAAAATATAATCTTAAAATACTAAAAGTTCTAAATACTCAAAGGATAGGGCATCCACCACATCAAATAAACTCTTCCAAGAAAATTCAACTAAATGTACATGTCATCTGTATAACATTCACATACATCATCAGCAATTGTTACAATTGGGCCTCGATTTTAACCTTAGCACAGCAGCCCATTCCAAAGCCCATCTTCAAAGATACCTACACATGCATGAAAGGCGGTTAATCTCTTGTACGAATTAGGAAAAGAGAAACATAAGTCAAAGTTGGAATAAGGACTTTTTCCTTTTGGTGATAGAAGAAAAAGTAAAATCTATGACTATAAATAAAGAGTTAGTCTACGACTTGTGGAGTATCCGAAACACAAGACCAAAAGAGAGAGAGCTAAAGAGAGATCGAGTTAGAGAAGAAACTCAAGGCAAGAGACATTGTTCGAGTCATGTCTTTAAGGGATAAAGTTTCTTTGATCTTTCTTAATCTTTGTTGTGTCTTCCCATTGAGCGCTTAGAGCGTTTGTGTAACCCCTTTGATTGATAGTGGATGTTGTGGGAGACGGTTCCCACCCGCGACGTACCGCGCTAGAGGCCGGGAACTCGGTGATCAAATTCTCTATGTTATAGAATTAAGCAATCTATCGATCGAGAATTCCTAACAAGTGGTATCAGAGCAATCCAGGTGTTGATTGCAGGTGGGAAAGAGATCACGGAGTCTAAAAAGAATCGCAGGGAAGAAGGATAAGGGTACCTATATATTCTTCAGAGGAAACTGCGAATCCACAGTCTCCAAGGTGATCGTCTTCTTGTTTGAATCTTCTGTTTGTTTACCGGTTGCAAAAGGTTAAACAAATCAATTAGATTATGGAGACAGAGAAGGGTTGAGATTGAGAGATCAAAGGGCAACACGGTTTTGGCTAAGGGAAGTACAAGGTGTCGAAGCAATAATACTCATCTCCAGGGAGTTGAACAAGGTAGGTATCGAAAGTCTTCTTAACAAGGTTGGAAGTTAGGCAGCGGGTTCCATTACTCATGGCGGTACAAAGTGTGTTCAAGGATCTATCGAAACTAAAAGTTTCAAAAGATTTTAGATCAAGGTGGAGATGATGTTAATGCTTCAAAGAAAGATGGTAGTGTTTCGTGATCGTCGATGTTTCAAGAAACGTCAGAAGAAGTTGACGGAGATGATCAAGGATTCAAGGAAGATCATGTCAAAAGAAGTTGACGGAGATGATCAAGGATTCAAGGAAGATCATCAAGGAGCTATTTTTCAAGGATTTATTTAATCACTATTACAGATTCATGAGCTTAAGAGTAGTCATGAAAGAGGTCTAGTGATTGATAGTTTGATAAGGAAAAATCAAACAAGGTTTCTCAAAATCTCAGAAGTATGATGAGTGGGAAGGTTACCTGCGACAATTATAAAGCTATGGTAAGGTATTGGCTTCAGGTGGAGTAGCTAAAAGCAAAAGAAATTGCTTCAGTTGGTAGCTGCAGGAAAATTAAAAGTAGCCAAGATATAATTTCACAAGAGTCTCAGAGAAATGAAAGAGACAGTGTGTGGACCAGAGATGATTAGGTTAAGGGATTACCTGGAATCATCAGAATGGAGGATAAGACGAAGGAGGTCGTCGGAGTAGCTATGAAGGAGAAAAACACGGGTTAGTGTTTTATGGTTACACAGAGAAAAAAAAAAAACAGTTTAAGTGAAGAATGGTTATCTTTCTAGTGGCTGCGATGGGGAGTTTTAATGATGTCTGGAAAAGCTGAAATAAAAGAAGTTTGACATATTAAAACTATCGTAGAAGAAGATTAAACAAGAGCATTACAATAATGAGTTGTATAGAAGCTGGGAATCGTACTTTAGAGTACTGGTGGTATCAGGGGTGAGTTTGATACCAGGAAAAGCGAAGGAGTAACAGTGTCTGAATCACAAAAGAGTGATTGAATTTGAAGCAGAAGACAAGCTTCACTAGAGGCACAGACATGGATTCGCTGGGCATCTTGGATTTACGGTTGTTTGGGCTTGGTTCAGAACGTGGTGGTGATTGATTCACCGTAGGAACAGGAACCATATGGATTCTGGCCAGAAACTTATTAAGGTTCATTCTTGAAGCAACCTAAGAAGAGACAAAGGGGCAAGCTAAATTCATTATTATAAAGAGATGAAGGATAGCTTAGAGGTATACCTGAGACTACACAAGATTGGTGGCATCGGAGGAGTATACTAGAAGATGCAAGGATTCTTTCAGACTTGCATTAAGAACTTCACTATCAAAGGAAGCATCAAAGGGTGAGACAAAGTGATAACAGTTGCAGGTGGAGTAATGGGGACAAGTGAATTTCAGGGAGATGGGTGGAGCAGAGTATTGCCATGTTTTGGCTAAACAACAATAAAGAGCCGGAGATCACTTACCGGAAACGCTGCAGAGTTCCGATTTACCAAGTGATACACGATGATGGTCAAACTTCGTGAACAGAGGGAAGTCACCGGAGCTGAAGCTATGGATGGCGAAGGAGAAGAGTTACTTAAAGGATTACGACTCGGCATCTGTTATGAGCGGTGAATATCGAAGCAAATGATGATGGAGTCACCGGTGGTCGTGTTCGTTGATCAACGTCGTATGAGGAAGAGCTACTCTCTTGATTCTCCGATGGTATCGAAGAAGACAAGACAAGGTTCAAATTGGGCCAGGTGGAGATTGTTACAATTGGGCCTCAATTTTAACCTTAGCACAGCAGCCCACTCCAAAGCCCATCTTCAAAGATACCTACACATGCATGAAAGGCAGTTAATCTCTTGTACGAATTAGGAAAAGAGAAACATAAGTCAAAGTTGGAATAAGGATTTTTTCCTTTTGGTGATAGAAGAAAAAGTAAAAGCTACGACTATAAATAAAGAGTTAGTCTACGACTTGTGGAGTATCCGAAACACAAGACCAAAAGAGAGAGAGAGAGCTAAAGAGAGATCGAGTTAGAGAAGAAACTCAAGGCAAGAGACATTGTTCGAGTCATGTCTTTAAGGGATAAAGTTTCTTTGATCTTTCTTAATCTTTGTTGTGTCTTTCCATTGAGCGCTTAGAGCGTTTGTGTAACCCCTTTGATTGATAGTGGATGTTGTGGGAGACGGTTCCCACCCAAGACGTACCGCGCTAGAGGCCGGGAATTCGGTGATCAAATTCTCTATGTTATAGAATTAAGCAATCTATCGATCGAGAATTCCTAACAGCAATCTCTTCATCTTCTCATACGATCTTATACAAGCTTGTACGGCTTCCATCTTTTTGTTTTCCAATCGAAAAGCCCCAAAATAATAATATTTTGCATTAACTCTATTTAGTCGTGACTAATTCAATCGTTTGATTAGCCCTACAAAATATATAAGACCATCCACAACGCTAGTGACTAAGGAGTCCTTAACGCGTTAACCTAGGAGGATTTGAATAAAAAATATAAACAGGCTGAAATTGGTAAGGATCAATCCTTAATTAAGGTGTTTAGGGATCAATCTTTAGTGACGTGGCATCATCTGCCTCCCTCTCCTGTTTTTACTTCTTTCGCCACTTCTGATTCCCCCTCGCCGACCCACTATGCCGTCTCGGCCGCACTCAACCCTCTGGCCTCCACTTCCTCTCTTCCCTTCCCCCACAGTCCATTCATTACTCTTCCTGGACTGGATTGAACTTTTTTCTTTTTGATTCCTTTAGTGTTTGAGTATTAAAGCATTCGATGGCTTTTTTAAACTGTTTATCGTTTTCTTGACTGTAGATGATGGATGATTCTTGTCTCTCTCTTTCTCTGATGGTGATACTGTGTTCTTGCGTCCCGTTGATGTAGGTTATGTTTTTGATGATAGAGACGTTTTTGACTTACAATGAGCACACCAAGAAACGGCATTTCCAAGCATCAGAGAGCTGACAAAGTTTCTGGTCAAGGAGGGCCATTTTGGATCCTAATTGCTGAGGGAGCCTTGTTGAGTACTTTGTCCATTCGCTTTGGCTACAAGCTTAAGCAGTCGCTTGATTTTAAACCTCGACAATCTAATGCCTCTGCTGGATTAAAAGGTATTTGCTTTAAAACCACTCTCTGTTGCTGCTTCTTTACATGTTTTGTGAAAATTTCTGTAGTTTTCTTCATCTCTTAATGGAAGATTGTTGTTGTGCAGCCAATGGAACATCTGAGAGGCCCAAATCTGTAGGTTGTTGTTTGCACTCACACACGTCTTCCTCTGCACATAAGAATGATTATTCCTGCTTCCACTCCATTCCAGGTCTGACTTTATAACTTTCTTCTTTTTTTACAGATGAATTTTCTGTATTGGCTTTGCATCATCTCTTACTGGGTTTCCTTTCATCAACACATGAAGTGAAAACGATGTGTTAGTGAGATGTACTAAAACCTCATTGCAAGAATGTGTAAATGATGCTACAGAGTTCCAGTGTCTATGATCTTTTCCTAATGATGTCTTTAAAGGCAGATTAGAGAACATATACTTGATGTTCATATATGAAGTTGGAAACTAGCAGGGATTTGAAGTTTCAGAGCAGAGTGCTTAAATTAGTTATAAGATTTGTCAACGTTGAAGTACTGATTCAACCTAATGGTTCCTGGGTCTGTGCGGCATATTATCAATTAATGTGCATGTATTTGAGAGCAGTTACAAAATCTATGAATCCTCTTCCTCTGTCCATGTCAGATCTTATCAAACTTTGCTTTTCTTTTCCTTTTATAGGAACTGTGAATGTGGATGGAAAAGAGGAGACAAACGAGCAAATGGTATCGGCATCTGACACTTCACTGCCTCTTGTGATGGTTCCTGCTCCATCTTACAGCAAAGAGAATGGAGTGATGTGGACTTCTTCTCCTGATCGCTTGGAACTACCCCCGAGACCATACAATCACCATTCAACCTGCTCGGATTCACCTTGCGTATCTGAAACCAAAAAATCCACAGCAAAGAGAATGGGTCGGTCTGGAGCAGGTGGAGCAGGAGGAAAGCATCATCCTTTTGTTTACAAGGTACAAAGTCACAGATTCAAATGCATATATATACTTAAGGATTCTATAATAGAAACACCATTGGAAATACATTTTCCATTTGGGTCCTTAACTATTCCCCAAAACATAAAAAATATTAATCTAATTCTAAGGACTCTAATGGTGGGTAACACCATTGGAGGTGCTCTAAGAAGCCTATACATTTTTTCGAAGGTCTTGAACTAAGACGTATAGTCAAGTTGAAGAGAAAAGGTAAATTTTGATTATGAAAACATTCTTTGATTTCAAAAGATACTCGATCTGATTTATAATTTTACAGATTTAATATGTTCTCAGATTAAAGTCCTGCAACTGAGATTGACGTATTATACATTGAATTATCCTCCAATGGCACATCGATACTCGTATGGTTCGTTACTATCTTCGAGTTAGGTAAGGATGGTATTTCAGAAATTTCAATATAGATTAAAGTCAATCACTCTACGGCTACAAATTTTCTGATCATTGTTTTACATATATGTTTAAGATTTAACCATTCTAGATCGGAGACAAGAGATGGATTTTAATACTACCATTCAAAAACCATCCATCTCATCCGATATCTACATTGATGTAAGCCAATCTTAAAGTTTCGATTGGAATTAATTTGGTTAAATCTACGTTGGACTTCCATTTCTCGTTCAAAGCCAACTCCGATTTTGACATACGAGTAGACTACTTCATAGTATTAAACATTCTATTATTCTGAAGAACGTCTTCATTCGGAAACTTATCGAAAAATGGTCTAAAACCATTTCGTAAAAAACGAGTTCCAACAACCCCCCCCCCCATGAATACAAATGACTTTGGATACTAGACGACTCAATAGACTTGACAAAATTGATTTCCTAGACAAGACTCGAAAAAAATCAACTAAAGACTTCTGAGAGTACCAACGGAAAATCCAATGTAAGATGAATTTGTAGCAATTTTTCAAACTTGAACCAGTCATTGTTAATAACTATCGGATTTACTTGGTCAGGAGGTGACCATGATGTCTTGAACCTCCTGGGCTTTGGTAGTCATTGTTAATAACTATCGGATTTACTTGGTCAGGAGGTGACCATGATGTCTTGAACCTCCTGGGCTTTGGTGTAAACCTAGACAATAGCTATAACACAAGTTCATCCTCTCACAAAACTAATTTTTCTATTATGCTCATTTTGGCCTTGAACATTCCTGGTAATCATGAGTGAACTCAGAGAATATAGCATTTTCTTCATTCTCCTAGAAATGGTCCCTTTTCATACTCACTAGATGATTTTCCATTAGTTTTATTTAGAGGAGTATCATGTACTACTCCATGCATATTTCAAAACTATGGACACAAATCATTAAAAATAAATGCTTATCCTATAATCCTTACATGTAGCACTGTTTAATCATCATAGGAATTGGGTATAGACCGAAAAGTCTTACAGTGCTTTGGGCAGATTTAGTTTGACTTAGTTGTCTCCTTGTACCTATTTCTTGGTATCTCCAGTCAGTTTGGTAGAGTTACCGCCAAACCTCATCTTAATTCACAGGCAAACCCATTCCTCTAGATGATATACCAATTGAATCTCATGACACATCTTTAATGTAAGGATCCTAGGTTGTCATCATGATGAACATAATCTCTTGAGAATAGTCAAAATCAATTATCTAATGATTTTTGTCATTTTTTCAAGATACAATTAACCATTGTACACAAAACTCAGTGCTTGACACTGGTTTTTTTTAATTGTATTGTGATAATCATCACTAAGTTCATTTAGCCTCTTGCCAACAACTTTATCAGGTAAGCAAAGCTTCCCCACATTTCTTGAAATTACTCAAAAACAATATATATATATATTTGCAATTAACATCTCTTTAGAGTTTTGAAAATTAATCTACAACTCTTTTAGATTTAAATAAAATAAAAAGCAATTTTTGAAAATTATTAAAATTTTCCTTTAAAAATGTATTTCATTCTCAGAAATTTACATTTTTCATAAAATTACTTTCACATTTTTCGAGTCGATTTATGAATCCAACTTGTATGTTTTGAATCTTTCCAAAATCAATTTTTTTTTTGCTTTTTAGCAAATATACATATCATTACAAGATATTATTTGTGGCATCAAAATAACTACTTTCTTTGGTTATTTTCAACCATATTGACTTTAGAAACTACAATAAACTTATCAGTTTCAGTCACATTGATCTGAAAATTCTCATTGTGTTTTTTCCCCCGCATGATCAAGCTTTATATGACTCGTATTAAAGCATTGACGAAGTATGAATGTTTTGATCAATATCAACAACATTACATTTGTAATGGAAAATGATTTATATGTGACAGAGCTCTTCCAGACTTAATCTGGGGCGTTGATTCACGAATCCATTTCCATCCATATCATTTGATTTTTAAAAAATCCAAATATTTCTCTCTCATGGTCATCCATGTGTCTAATAACTAAATTAAGTCATCCCATAAATCTGAAAAAAAAACAGACAAAGTCATTAGGTATTCTTGATAATTAAAGCAAATAATTACCTTTTACCAAGTCAAAACATTAACATATATTAGACAAATAATGTTTATGAGCAGGATATTTTAATACAAAACTCATGCATTCTTGTAATGAAATATTAACAATATTTGACCAAAAACTAAATGCAAAACAAATGCACAAAATAAATGCATTAAACTCTTAAATATACAACAAGAACAAAAAATTGACTCTTGCTAATAAATATTCTCAAACTGAAAGCATCTAAACTATTAAAAAGAAAGTATATTTTATACTTAATCCTAACTTTTCCACAATAATTACCTCCTGATGCCACTGATATTAAACACAGAGTTTTGTTTTTAAATTAAACCGCCATACGATTGAGTTTTAAATTAAACCGAGAAAAAACATTACTGAAGACATTAGTTCTTCGGCTTCCTACATATCGTGTTATAGTATACAACTAGGTTAATACCCGCGCAGTTGCGGGGAATGAGAATTATATATAAGAAATTATTTTATATCTTATTCTTATATATAAGATATAAAATAATATATTGTGTTCTTCTATATATTATAAAATAATAAATATATATTGAATAATTAAAAAAATTGTAACTATTATATGTACAATTAATTTAGCGAGCGCTTAAATAAAATAATCATACTTTTTTTTATTTAAAATCGCTTTATATAATTAGTAAATCTATTTAATAAATGATATTAACATATATATATATACTAGGTGATTTTCCCGTGCTCATGCACGGGTATAAATATTTTATTAAGTAAATATACTAAAATAATTGATTACTATTTACTTTTAATTTTCAATTAATTTATAATTTGCATACATGATTTATATTAATAATATTATTTTACTTTAATTACACTTATTATTTTAGAAATATTATATCTAGTCAATTTTATTATTTTATAGTCGATTTTACTGTTATTGTTTGAGTATATTAGATTACATTCTTTTATCTGAATTCAACTATAATATTTTTTATTCTAAATATATTAAATTTTGTTTAGTTATATTATTTACTTTTAGATTGTTTGCTGTCTCAGATGTCAATATATTTTAGAAAAGTTATTTATAACTTAAGATATATTATGCCTGTAATGAAATATAAAATAATTTTGATTTCAAATTACATCAATCGATATAAAGATAATCTTTGAAGTCTCATGCATATATATAAATTTCACAAAATAAATCAAATTAATTAATATTATTTATCATTTAAATGTGCACGTATTTTCAATTTTCATAATATTTATCAAGTTATATGTTTCATTAAAATATAGTAGAAAATAAAGAAATAATTAGTAGGAAGTTACATACTTAAGTAACTCATATATTTTTGGAGATTCATGAACACATATCAATATTTACAATAACTAAAATATTTTATAAATTCTAAATAATTTTATATCTTAGATTTATTGAATGATAAACTGATATTATTTTAAATAATCTTTAAATTGAGAATTCGGATTTGCTTTGGTATTTTTATTATGGTTATATTAAGTTACACACACATAAATTTTTTAAAAAAAAATAAAATTAAGAAACATATAATTTAAATAATGATAGAATATAACATATCTATGTCATTAAAGTATATAGTGGTATGATATTTTAAAATATTTTGTAATTAGTTGATTAAAAGATGTTTATTTTTAAAAAAATATTTTAATTTCTCTTAAAAATAAGCAGTAAAAATTGTGGTTGTATTTGAGAAATCATATTATATAAGTAAATTTTAATTTATGGGTATTTTTTTTGCTTTAGTTGAAAGATACTATATTCAACTAAATATATGAAAATAAATAAAATATTCAGTAATTTTAATTAAAAACTATTTTAGTTAATAAAAACATATACTTGTTTATGTTACTTAAAATTATGTTTAAAAGTAATTTTTTTTTTCAAATATCAAAATTATATGTGTGAAATTTTTTGTTATGAAATCACATTATATAAAAATATATATTTTCATATAAGAAAATACAGATATAAAGAAAGTATTTTATTAATTAAAAAGTACATTTTATGTTATTTAAAATATTTTTAATGGATGTTACTATTTTGTTAATTTTCCCTTTTAATGAAATCATATTATATAAACATATATTTTCGTTTTTAATTTTTC